AAATTATGGGGCTGAGGATATAGATCAGTGTCAGAGACCTTGCCTAGCCCTAGGCTCTGGATTCCAAACCTAGCATCACAAAATAAATAGATCCCCCGGGCCAGGCTCTGTCATAGTTCAGGTAATATGATAGTTTACCAGAGACAGAGTTAAGAAAGTGCTCTGAGCACTTGGGCAGTTGAGACAGGAGGATCTCTGTGAGTTCAAGGTGAGCCTGCGCTACAAAGTGAGTTCAAGACCAGCCTGCACTGCATAGCGAAACCCCATCTCAAAAATAACTTTGAAATTATTTGCCCAAGGTCATAATAATAGTAGACATGATATCCAAAATGATATCTTTTTTTTTTTTGGTTTTTTTCCGGTACCAGGAATTGCACTTACAACCTTGCGCTTGCCAGGCAGGCGCTGTGACGCTGAGCTAAATCCCCAGGCCCTCAAAATGATATATGACTTTAAAGTCTTTCCAGTTGTTGCCTCTCCATTCCTTCTCCATCCATGAAAACAAAGACATGTATGTATATGAATTGTACTTAATAGCATATGTATAAAAAGAAGTGAATATAAAATCAGTTTTTCTCTTCTCTCATTGTAGGGACTCTGAGATCATGCAACAAAAGCAGAAGGCAGCTAATGAGAAGAAGTCTGTGCAGACAGGAGAAAAATGATACCCAGCTCTTTGGGAAACCTGGGTGCTACTGCCAGCTGGTACCTCATGCTCCAAGATCGGGATTCCTTAGAGTAACAAGCATCACTGTGTTACAGCTCATCTTCATAAAACTGTTTACTTCAAACTTTCTTTTTCAGCCTCAGTGTGATGTTCTAGAACCATTCTTCAAAGAATAAAATGCTGTGCCTGTGATACTGGTGAATATTATTTTTATCAGCAAGTGAGTGTTTCTATGGATAGGTAGTGTGATCAGACAGTAGGATATCTTATGTAAGTCTGGGATCTTTGTCATCTACTTTGTTGAAGTAGACCTTTAAAGTAAATTGTATCACGTAGGGCAAGTGCTACCAACTCAGTGGTTGGTTGGTTGCCTGGCACGCACAAGGCCATGGGATAAGCCCAACACCACCCAAAAAAAGTGAAATAAAATTTAAGATCCCTTTGTGTAATTTTGCTTTGTAGTCAGCCAGCTTGCTTGCAGAATTTGTAATAGTACAAATCACACGGAATACCAACTAAATGGATGTGAATTAAATGAGACAGCTCAGTAAAAGTTCTGTTGATGATTTAAAATTTTTTAGAATGAGAGTCATATTTTAGTCTGTTCTGACTCTTCAAAAATTGGTGACTTTGGAGCCAGGCATGGTGGCACATGTGTACCTGTAGTCCCAGCATTTAAGAAGTGGAGGCAGGAGGATTACCATGAGTTCAAGGTCAGTCTGAACTACAGAGCAAGACCCTATCTTTTTTTAAAAATAATATTTCATAGTTTGAAATATCTTGCCAGGCATGGTGGCCCACACCTGTAATCCCAGTACCTGGGAGGCTGATGCAGGAAGATCGTTGAAAGTTCAAGACCAGCCTGGGCTTACAAAGTGAGCTCAAGGCCAGCCTGGACTACATAATGAGACCCTGTCTACAAAACAAAATAAAAACCTTAGTTCTTTTTTTTTTTTTTTTTTGGTTTTTCTCCGGTACCAGGAACC